TTGAATATTCATGTTCAACTTCTTCTGTGTCTTCTGTGTCGAAACTAGCATTGGGATCCATGTTTATTAATACGTTACACCGGCCGCTCTCCCCCTTGTTTACCCTTTGTTACGTCAGACGTGGGAGGTCACGTGCCGAGACTCTTTTATGCGGAAGTGAACATTTCTTACAAAAACGACGCCAGATGTCACTGTAGTGTATATTTCTGTATATTTTTTAGAAAATCTAGTGTATTCATCATTTTCCTACACATTTATTCACAGGTGTCTTTAACCTGGAAGTTGCTCTTTAAACCTTGGTCCTCCCTGCAGAGATTTCTCCACTTTCTATGATTTTTATTTTTTTTAATGATATTGTCAACTGTCGATGTTTACAATATAGTAAATTAGGAATTTAATGAAAAGATATGTATTTATTTTTGTTTCAACATTGGATATTTTGTGTTTGTGGTGGATTCAATCGAATATCGAGAAAATGATTTATGTAAAAATGTTTTACTTACATTTTACGTTTTTTTTATTTGACGCTTTTTTTTACAGTTTTATGTTTACCTTAAAATTACAAAGAACATTTTAAAGTCTTATAATAGTAATAGACTTTTATATTACGAGTTACATATTTAATTACAGATAATACTTTTATTTTACGTACATCTGCAGGTATTTTCTGAAAGTGCAAAAATACTGTAAATATTATATAGTAAATTTACTGTAAAAAAAAAAGGAAATAAACGTTATTTGTTGTTATTGTCAAAATACTTTAAATAATGTGTTGGGTTGTTAATTTATAGTTAATATCTGTCATTTTACAGGATTTTGCAAGTTATTTAAAAAACATGATAATTACTATACAAATTTACAGTTATTTACTGTAAAATTACGATCTTTTTTTACAGTGCAGTTAATTAATAAGTGATCACTACACGGGTATGGAAATATGGCAGAAAAGGTGGGAGGAAGACCAGAAAGGGAGGAGATACCACAAGTTACAAACATCAGTCATAATAAAGAAGGAGATCACCATCACTAGACTCAAACTGGATCATACAGGATTAAACGGCTTAATGTTTTGAATGGGAAAATGCAAAGTTGAAGAATGCAGGGGGTGTGGAGTGAAATAAAATGTGGAACACATCATATTACACTGTAACATGTACAAAACAGAGAGGGAACAACTAAGAGACAGGGTCAGAGAGGCAGGAAGGGAGTGGAGCCTGATGGGGACACTGGGAACAGAAGGTGAGGGGGTAAGAGCTACCAGGAAGGGAGTGGAGCCTGATGGAGACACTGGGAACATAAGGTGAGGGGGTAAGAGCTACCAGGAAGGGAGTGGAGCCTGATGGGGACACTGGGAACAGAAGGTGAGGGGGTAAGAGCTACCAGGAAGGGAGTTGAGCCTGATGGGGACACTGGGAACAGAAGGTGAGGGGGTAAGAGCTACCAGGAAGGAAGTGGTGCCTGATGGGGACACTGGGAACAGAAGGTGAGGGGGTAAGAGCTACACTGTAAAAATCAACCTATAAGATCTACTCTCTAAATGGGGGTAACAATTTGCACACACTTCTTTTGAGTAGATTTTACCCAATGTTTTTGGGTAAAGGTTACTAATATTTAATATATAAGACTTACTTTAAGAAATTAAGTCAAATCTAACTCAATTACTTAAAACGTATTACTTATAAATGAGTAATATTTACTCCTAATCGTAGGCAGCTATTTACTTAATAATTGATCCATATTACACATTAATTACTTTATTAGTAAGGCTACCAGTAAACAATATATTGCCACACAAGATTTTATTGATCATGTTTTTTTTTATTGACCAAATATATAAGTGCAATATGGCCATACATTGAGATTATTTAAACAGATAAGTGCATTTCAATTGTTAACTGAGCAGAATCTTCAAAATAGTCACACAATCACATTGTTTTAACAGTAAAGTGCATGGAAATTGTAAACATTTTTAACATAATCTTCCAAGTGCAATTTACTCAACTATTAAAACCTTTGAGTGCCAGTAAACAGTCCACTTTTAACAGAAAAAGGTTTCTCCACATCCATTACATTCCACATCACATTATGTTGTGTTTGTGTCACTCGGCACTAAAACAAGTCAACATCCACTTCAGAACAAATTGTTTATTTGCGGCTCTGGACCTGTTTGAGCAGCTTGGCTCCATCAAGCTCCAAAAACTGTTTTTAGAATACCTCAAATGTGTATTTGAGCTTGTTGGGGTATTCCAGGTTGAGGGCGTAGATCAGGGGTGCCCAACCAGTCGATCGCGATCGACCGGTCGATCGCGGGGAGATTCCCAGTCGATCGCGAGATGTGTCTAAAAATAGAACAACAATATTCTGTTTTATCGTTAATGTCCTGTAACATAATCTTCCTGTGCCAGAATAATGCACTTGAACGCATCAAAGCTTTGGGATTGGTCGCCGTGACCCCATGTGTCGGGGCGTGGCTAGTGGGCAGTGCACTAATTCGCTAACGTTGTCCGTATCAACAGGAGTGACAGTCCGCACACAAACAAGACCGCAATTATGGCAGAAGCAAAACATATATAATTTTAACTCCGAGTGGGAGGATGATTATTTTTGTATTTATTCCAATTCAAAGTCCATCTGAAGAAGGGTAATTTAGGAGCGGCATTTCAAAACAGTGCACAAACGCTACGAGACGGAATTCTCTCCTAATTCTGCCCTACGCTCCAAAAGGGGAGGGGCCTGAAAGGACAGCTAAATGCACAGCAGCCCATTTTCACCAGGCCTAACAACAAGAGCAAGGCTGCTACCAGAGCATCTTATCGTGTCAGTCACGTTCTTGCGAAACACATGAAGTCTTTTAAAGACTGCGAAGTTGTGAAAGAAGCATTCCTGGAGGCTGCCGATGCGCTTTTGGGGGACACTAAAAAACGGTAGCATTTCAACAGGTTTTTGATATAATAAAAACTCAAGTTGGATACCGTTATTAATCTGCTGTAAGTTTTAGTTTGTTTGAACTTATTCATTATAATTATTGTACAAAATTGTATAAGAATGCAAACTTAAATTGATTATAGTCTATTATCAATTCAGGTTAAGAAACTAGTGTTGCTGGCATCCTATTTTAAAGGCATTTATTTGTATACTCTACTAAAATGCAACAAAAAAGGGTTTGATTCTATTAATGTTGTCTCTTTTATTGCACTTTGGCAGCAGATTCCTGTGTAGCTTCAGATCTGAGTTGTCTTATTAGTAAGCCTCATTTATACTTTTGTAGCAACACTATTTGTATATAATGGCAACGAAAGGGTTCAGAGTCTTTTCTTTTTCCCTGTGTCACATGTGGCAGCACTGTTCAATGTTTCTTGAAAACATTACCCACTGTAGTGACGTGTGAATAAACTCCAACTCTGTATCAACAGCACTGTTGTGTAACTTCAGTTAAATACTTGTATGTGTGTAGATTAGAAAGAGGTAAGATAAAGGATCTGCAGTATTTGATGAGGTATTAATTGTACAAAGGTCAGTTTTATACAAGTAGAAGTGTGTATTTACCTGGCAGTAGGCTGTCAGTAATGGCTACGTCTCTCTATTTGGCCTGGTAGATCTCGGCAGACTGGCAACTTTAAAAGTAGCTCTTGGTTAAAAAAAGGTTGGGCACCCCTGGCGTAGATGAATCCCATCAACAATGCACATGCCTTTGTTTGGTGTCCGCACAAAACTCTGTCTCCCTCTATGACAATGGACACATCTGCTGGTCCCGTCCCTGGCATCATGGATCACAAGCACCTTCATAGTTTGGTCCACGACGTTGGCATGCTCGTCCTCCATGTTGAAAAGAAAGAAAATAATATTCACTTTAAATTAGGCATAGTCAAATTGCCCATTGATCTAATCAATGACATTAAATTGATTCTTTCCCATAAACATAACTTTTCAGTGCATGATTTTATTTATCTTATTTCACTTTAACACCAAAAGAAGGTTTTTGTTTTTAGGTAGTTGTATATGTTAAGTAGCTAAGCACATCAATAAATTATTCCTAAATCATTTTCCTGTGAATGCTAAACCATTTATAAAAACAATAAGATATTTACAGATTTACAGCAATAAATTGCATATTTATTTGTTAGGTGTCAGAGTGGTTAATCACATAAATTAAACAATAGTATCAGAGCAACCTCCGAAATAACTCCGTTAAAATCTTGAATTAAAAAAAAAATGTTTTTAAGTGAAACATCCGGGGCTTTTCAGAAAACATCCGGGGCTTGAGCCCAAGTAGCCACACCCTAGCGCGGCCACTGATTGGAAGAATTTAAAACAACGTAAACAACACAATGGTATAATTCCACAAGTGGTGATTGGTTGATATGGTGATACACTTTATTGTACAGTAGGTGGCGGTATGCACCTGAAAGCTGTTTGCAGTCCGCCAAAAACCGAGAGAAGAAGAAGAAGAAGACGACTAAGAAGAACCTGGATCCACGTGGCGTCTCGTCGCTACGGTTCTCTCTCTGTGTTCCTGAGAAAGTGTGTGTGAGCTCCAGCTCTACTGATCCATCATCTGTGTGTCTGGATAAACCTCTGAATATACTGTGTGCTCTTTTTTCTGGAGCGTTTACCTCGGACTATAGGAGCTAGCTTAGCATGCTAGCTGGAAACACGTTAGCAACACTAGTCAGATTGAGAGTTTGATGCAGAGAGAAACGGTGTGTTTAACGGAGTCTGCAGGAAAAGGTGATCTAGGAAACATGAGTAAAGTCCAAATGCTGCTGTCGTTGAAGAAGCAGCGACTCACTGCTGCTGATGAAGAGATATTTGCTCTGTTTGAACAAACAATAGGCGCTTTCACACTGCGGTACTTTTCCCACAAAGGTTAATGTGAACTTAGTTCATGTGAACTCTTTTATCGCGTTCACACCAAAAAGAGCCGGTACTAAAATTAGTTAATGTGAATCTTTTTACCGGCTCTTTTGTGAGAAAAGAGCTACATTTCTGATTGGCTGGAAGGATTGCAAACCACGCCCCGTGACACTCTGAAAATGCCATTTTTATTTCCTCGCATTATTGCCCAGCGCACCAACGGAGAGAGAACTGTTTTTAAAAGAGAGAACTGTTTTTAAAAGAATGGCAACTGTTATTGCAAAGAAGTCATCGGAGCGGTGGAGTGATGAGGATGTGTCGGCGCTTCTGTCGATTTACTCCGAGGACGCGACCCAGCGGCTTCTGCTAAAGGCAGTTTCAAATACGAAGATGTACGACCGTTGTTCACTGAAGTTGCGCGACCTGGGAATCTTCCATAACGCTAACTCGTGCAGGGACAAAATAAAGAAGCTCAGGCAGGACTACAAAAAAATAAAAGACCACAATAATAAAAGTGGTAACGACCGGAGGACGAGCAAATTGTACGATGTATTGGATGCTCTGCTCGGCCACAGGCCCTCATTCTCCGGCACAGCGTCTACCATCGATTCGGGCGTGCTGGTGTGGGAGGCCGCTGAAATGGCGGATTCAGTGGTCGACGACGACGACGAAGAAGGTAAAAATAAACTACATGCACTGCACTATTTTAATCTGCACAATACTGGAGTGTGCAATGTTTCTGTAATTTGCTTCACTAACTAATCGTGTGTTTTCAGGGGCAGAGATGGGACAACTCTGTCTAGAAACGAGTGAGCTTTCCCCTCCAGATCGGGACAGCAGTCCTCGCTCGTCTCCCTTGCCACCAAACAAACGCAAAGGTACATACAAACACACTGTTACTACTCTGGTCTTGAAAAGAACGTTATGCATCGAACTGATGTCCACTAATCACGTTTATTTCCGTCTTGGTACAATTATGAAACACCGTAAAAATACATAATTTACACTTTTAGCGCCTTTTTTCACTCTCACAAACTTCCGGGCTAGAGGTAGCTTGACTTCCGGTAAGAAAACTCCTAAGATTTTTGACAAAAAACTAAGTTCAAGCATACATTAAGCACTCTTCACAAATACAAAACAATAAATAAGGGCACTACATATATATATATATGTACACACAAAGTGTGTGTGTGTATTATATATATATATATGTATGTGTGTATATATATATATATATATGTATATATAATATATGTATACACACAAAGTGTGTGTATATATGTATAAAGTGTGTATACGTGTATATATATGTATACACACAAAGTGTGTGTATATATATTATGCTATTTGATACTATCTTACCTTCTACTTTACACCCGCATTTTTTACACTGTCCCTGCCTGCACCCTGTCCAATGTTGTCTCTGTGAAAAACCTACTAGTAAACAAATGCCTTGTATGTTGTAAAACTACATGGAGAATAAACTGATCTTGTATCTTGCTTATTTGTCCTCTTAGGAAAGTGGGCTCGGGATGAGAGCTTCCTAGACACCATCGCCGCGATGGAGGACCGGCGTGCCATGGCCAGCAAGGAGAGTGAAGACCGACGTGCCATGGCCATCAGGGAGATGCACGACGAACAGATGTTGTCTCTTCACAAGTCCCAGGAAACAGACGACAATATGGTCATGGTGATGTCGCGCCAGGCTGACGCAATGTCGCGCCAGGCTGAGGTGTCTGCGCAGCAACAACAGGCCTTCCAGGTTGGGCTTCTGGCAGTGCTTTCCGAGCTGGTTAAATCCAACAGGCATCCTTCACTGTAGTGTATATATTAGGGGGGGGCTGTGGCTCAGTGGATATTGTGCTGTACTTTGAATCGGGGGGTAGCAGGTTCGAGTCCCACTGCAGTCAGCATGTCGTTGTGTCCCTGGGCAAGGCACTTCACCCCAAATTGCTCCTGTGGTTCTCCACAGTATTGAGTATGTAAGTCGCTTTGGATAAAAGCGTCTAACAAATGACATGTAATGTAATTGCCACTGTTTTGATACTGACACTTACTTGCATTAAGGTGTGTCTGCTGCTGAGCCTATCCCTACACAGTTTATTTTGTATTGTTATTATATATATATATATATTGCCACTGTTTTGATATTGACACTTAACTTGCACTAAGGTGTGTCTGCTGCGGAGCCTATCCCTCCACAGTTTATTTTGTATTGTTATTATATATATATATATATTGCCACTGTTTTGATATTGACACTTAACTTGCACTAAGGTGTGTCTGCTGCGGAGCCTATCCCTCCAGTTTATTTTGTATTGTTATTATATATATATTGCCACTGTTTTGATACTGACACTTAACTTGCACTAAGGTGTGTCTGCTGCGGAGCCTATCCCTACACAGTTTATTTTGTATTGTTATTATATATATATTGCCACTGTTTTGATACTGACACTTAACTTTGCACTAGTGTGTGTCTGCTGCGGAGCCTATCCCTACACCTGGGACAGTTTATTTTGTATTGTTATTATATATATATTGCCACTGTTACTATATTGTTTTGGTACTAAAACTTTAACTTATACGACCTGGGACAGCGTGATGCCGTTATTGTGCTAAATAAAAGAGAACCTACATAGCGATTAAACAGATCCTGTATCTTGCTTATTTCTCCTCTTAGTCTTACGCATACACACAAATAATTTATCATATCATTTTGAGATAAATAATGAAAATACAAGGGTTAATATCCTTTTGTTAAATCAGCCTGAGAGGACACTATATAAATAAATGTACATTGTTGTAAAGTACCCTTATAACTGTGGTGTGTCTGCACTATTGTAATTGTGTCTGTCTTGCCTGGTAAATAAAAGAGAGAACCAAAAGCACTGTACAAAATATCAGTTTTATTGTCAATTAACAAATGTCAACGCTGTTGAGATGCCTCATAAGGGCTGTGCGCGTGTCTTGGGGAGGCTGCCCCCCAGCCTCCCCAATGGCTGGCGCTGGCCCATCAAGCTGGGTTGCCGGTAAGGCAGTCCATTCGGCCCTGTACTCATCGCCATTACTCTCACAAAGGTTATGTAATATGCAACATGCTGCCACCTGGATTTTTATTTTGTCAATCTTGCAGTCGTTTCGCTTCATCAAGCACCTCCATCTGCCCTTCAGTCTGCCAAAAGCGTTCTCCACCACCACTCGTGCTCGGCTTGTTTTGTAGTTGTACACATGTTGCTCGGGTGTGAGCCTTCCATTATCTTGGAACGGTTTCATCAGCCATCTTTGCAGGGGGTAGGCTGAGTCACCAAGGATATAGTAACCCACATCATGTCCACCAATATCCCTTGTCACATGAGGAAGTAGACCACCCCTATCCACAAAACTACCCAGTGATGACATGCCTAACATGCTATCATGCATGCTACCTGGTAAGCCAACAAAAACACTCCAAAAGAGGCCCTTGCCATCCACAACACCCTGCAGGACGAGCGAGTGCCAGCCTTTGCGGTTGAAATACTCGTTGTGGTGTTCCTCTAGTCTCAGAATGGGGATGTGTGATCCATCTACTGCACCTACACACTGTGGCACACCCCATCTGCGCTCAAAAAATAACGCCATCTCCTTTAACTTCTCAGAGCTCGGCCATGGCATAAACTCAGGAAGGAGTAGCGTCACAACCAGGGGCGTCGCCTGGACTTGGAAACATTCGGGGCTTAGCCCCCAGGGGCGGCGCTACAGTCAAATTTTCTACTGCAAGACTCCCCACACGCATACACAATTGCGCCATCTGGTGTCACAAACGTGTGCCTGCATTAGCTTTGTTACGGCAATGGATTGTGGGAGATTATCATAGCACGTGAGGATCTCTTGAGGGTAAGGTGCCTGTATTATCTCGGTGGACAAAATGTATGTTTTTATTTTATAAGGACAATAACGTACTGTTGTGTTTGTTTAGTTTAATGTTAATTGTTTAATGCTCACAGTCACAGCAACATGTTTTTTGTGTGATTGGCTATTTGTTTTATATGATTTATCAACGTGATCATCAATAGCTAATCTGAGCACCAGAACCCAGCTCATGTCCTTTTATGCTGTCCATTGAAATGCAGGTATGTGAGTTTTGTACACCAGTTTATTTATGTTTAATGTTTCACATTGCTCCACATGATGCCTTGACTACAAAGTATTCCATGTTTCTACCCCTCTGTGTCACAGTTTCGGGAATATCAAGATCATTACACAGGGCCTTGGTCTTGTCATAGACCTCATGTGCTTTCTCGTTACTTCGGTAACTTTTCAGTGTGTTCTCAACTGCTGTTTTGTAATCTGCCTGCACCAAGTCAATTGTTTCTTTCTGCAGGTATGTGTGCAGGCCCTGAGTGGTTGAGAGCAGTGTCTGGAACATGACAGCATGTAGATGGTACTGAATTTTCAAAGCTTGCTTTCCAGTCCCTTTGCTAGAGGGGCTGAAAGGCTCCCTAAAGTCTTGATCAAAGCAGGGAGGTTTTTGACATGCCCAGCGAACAAGTTGTTTGTCCCCTACCTGTTTCTGAAATGTTTGCAATCTCTGATGGTGGACAAGAGATGTGGAGAAGAAAGAGTAGAGACACTCCAGGAGATCAACGCAGGTATGTGAGTTTTGTACACCAGTTTGTATAAGTTTAATGTTTCACATTGCTTGTGAAAAATATACTACCACTATACGATCACTGATGTTTTGTTGTTGACTGGACACTTATTTTGTAAAAGAGATAGCATGAGAGGATCTCTTAAGCAATGCAGCTCATGTGTCCTTTTTATGCTGTCCATTGAAATGCAGGAAAGTAATCAGCTCTGAGTGATCTGTTGACGAGCGGACACTACACCGGAGTTACATAAGCAGAGATAAAGTGCTATTTTGGGGGGAACTCACCTCCTCTGGGGTCCCCCAGGAAGATTTATTTTAAATACTGAAGTTAAAAGCATCAATCTTGTGCACTTTGAGAGCAACATTAAGAGATATGGATACATCTCTCAACACCCATATGTAAAAAAAAAATCAAAGAATCAGAATCAGAAACGGGTTTATTATTTAAAAACACTTCATTTTCCAATTAAATCATAAACTATGTCAAATTATTAGAAGTTGTTAGTAATCAGATTAAACAGAAAAAAGGGATGGAAGGAGGAAATAATAATCCCTCATCTCTTGCTGTTTGCGGTTGAAATGATCTCTTTTGCTGGCCAAATGGAAAGCAGTGATGTCTCACTTGCCTTGGCCCTGTATCTGCAGTCCCTAAATCAGTCATGTTACTCATTGACTCTTGTCTGTTCTGGTGTTCCTGTTCATTGTTGTCTCCATTGTTGTTCTTGTCTGTTGTTTCTCCTTCTTGTGTGTCCCTTTCTCCTGTTCTCCTTTCTTCATCCTCTACTCTGTTTGGCTCATCTGTGATGACTGTGTAGGTAACACAAACAAGTATGTAAGTCAATCAGTTTCCAGCTCTGTCAAATAAATGAATTTCAAGATACACAAATTTGTCTTCATTAAAATGAGTGTCACCACACTGTCACAAAATGTAATACTAACCAATTGAAAATAGTTAAATTTACATTGGAAACCTCTTGTAGATATCACTGTTTAGAGTAGTTATCTGCCAATAGGACAGAATAATTCCTATACAAATGCAGTTTGAGTAATTCACTTAATATATTTACTTAAAACTTTAATATAGTCATTTTCACTTAATACTCTAATATAGTCATCTTTCTGCATGCAACACTAAGGAAAGCTGTACAATTTGACATGATGAGGAAAAAAGGCCTCCGACAATGCAGATCATTTTTTGATCATATCAATTTTAAGATGCGGGTCAAGGCTTAATATTTGGGAGCATAGTGTCCCTTCCCCCTTTCAGGAGCCCCACTGGATTGGCTTTGATCTGAAATATTTGTATAAAAAGCTTGTTAGCTGGCTGTCCATCTCATAATGTTCACATAGAAACTAGCTGTCAATAGGAAATATCAATCAGAAGAAATATATTTTCATGCAAAATCTGTCACAAAAAGAGGTTGCACATTTAAATGCAGGTGTTGTTATGGCAACGTCAGTGGCCAGACAGCCACATTTACTGCTGCAAATACGTTCAAACATGCTGTCGACACCTAAAGCAGTGGCAACTATGCCACCATTTCAGCTGACTTTTTCTCAGAAATACTGTCACATAACATCCATATATATATTTCAGTGCTAGGTTGATGCTTAGCTAAGCTAACTATGAAACACTTTAACTGACAGGACTCAGGATCAACGGTGTACTGTAAGGTAGCTTCTAGCTTCATGTCGAACACAGACAGTAAGTCAACATTTCTCAGAGAGCTTTCTTTGAAATCACCGAGTAACGCTAAAAAACACAACATTTAGATTGTATGACAAAGTGTTTATTTAATATATCTGGCTAGCTATAGCTACTTGCTAACGGTTTAGCTTACCCGCGCGATTCAAAGTAACGTCAACGTAGCTATAATTTATGCTTTGCTTACATGTTCGCATAACTTGTAAGTTTACTGACAGGTACATACCTTGTTCACCTGGCTCAGGTGGTGGCTCTGGGGTTGTTGTGTGAGCCACCACTTGAGAATGGCCGTCTTTTTTATTAAAGAAATGTCTAATGTCCATCTTCAGAATCTCCGCGTCCGGGGCTGACAGTTTAAAGTTTAAACACTGTCACAGAGGAGAGGTACGTACCTGTCAGCCAATAAAACACGTTTATTTCCATGCAACTCTCTGATTGGTCTGGTGGCGTCGTCTTGCCTCTGTGTTGCATTCACTGAACATGGGAAATTACAATTCTGCCGTCCGTCCTATAGGTAAAGTAGGTTAATATATTATATTATTGAGGGAGAATTTGTCCGGGGCTAAAGAAAAAACATCCGGGGCTAAAGCCCCGGATGCCTACCCCAGGCGACGCCCATGGTCACAACAGAGGAGCAGAACTCATGCACACAGCAAAACACCGTAGAGATGCTGACT